TTTTCCAATTGGAATTGTTGTAAAACAATGAAAATTTATCGATGCTGATGAGCGACGTTCTTTTTTTCCCGGAATAGAAGTTAACAGGGCACTGATAATAAACTGATAAATGATAATAGGAAATGGTATCATTCCTTCTCTCCCTTCACTTTCACTTTAATATGTCATCACCCTTTTATCATAGCATTTGGCTTAGAGCAACTACTGTCTACGCCAAACGCTATGATAAAAGGCATGCCCACATAAGGCACCACTAAGAACTGCCTCTCCTTCCACTTCAAACACTTCTATCAAAGGCCTTCAACATCTTCCTCTCTCCAGTCCTTGCAACACTCTGTCACCAATCGATTCTTTCTCTCTGCACTTCTGCGCGTACACAAACACTCTCGTTAAAGCCTTGAAGATATATTTGTCAGTGTGAGGCCAGCATGATATATCTTCTCGAGGGAAAGTTAGGCAGGCAACATACACATATTGCATAGTGTAAAATGTGAGGGATAGAGAATGACTAATGCGCTTCTGCTGATATTTCGGACTAGCACAGATAATTCCGGAAGAGGATGCAGCAATTATTTTGGTTATCCACCGATTTCTTCCTATAATCAGTCCTTCAAATCATTCCGGAAATATATATATTATGGAACGGTAGGAATCAGTCAAAACGCCGATAAATGATGAATGGTAGCGATGATTGCCACCTGATATGGGACGGAAAACTAGTAAGAGCAGTGAAAAGAAAAACAGTTATTGAAAATCGAAACATTCTTAAAATGGAAAGAGATGAAAATGAAGTATCAAAGCGAAGTTCGCTGCTCTCATTCATACATTGATGTGTTCACTCATTCATTCTTTAAATGCACAATTCAATTTCATTCATTTAAATTCACATTTCATTAATAATTAATGTTCAGTCCTATCAATTAATATTTCAACAATATATGTTCCCCTTTGACTGACTATAACTTTTCACTTATGCTAAACCAAATGTTCAAATAATTTCTAACTAATTCATATCATCCGGAAATCATACAGATTCTAAAATCTGTCATGTTTTGCTTTAATGCAACGAAAATTTTTCGAATACTTTCCGGATAGTAACACAAATTTTCTGACTTTTTTCTTATATACCTGATTAGAAGTTTTTTTAGAGTGATAAATGATAAGATTTTACCTGTAATGTGTGATTTCCATACATTCTTAAAATCATTTATGAAGTAAGGAATAATTATGAATTAGCATCATTTATTGTTAATACATGAAGTTATAACGAAAAGCGTTAAGAATCAAATATTTGATTTATTCTTTTAAAATGAAATTCTTAAGGGACATTTTGCCAGTTGTTTTTTTCTTTTCTTCTCATAAAACTTATCCATCTTTTCTCATACATATTATATTGTTTCGTCTTAATTTTGCAATTAACTATTAGCTTATATTTTGATAAATTTGAATAGACAACTTAAATTTTGGATCGTATATGTGTAACCATAATATTGATTGTTAACATAAACTAACAACATATGGAATGTAATATACATTTGTTACAACTCAAATTTCAATTTAATTCATTTCAAACTTTATTGATCCAACAACAACAACAACAACAACAAATCTTACATAACACTATTTTATGCTATCATTTTGGCTTACCATATTTACATCATTTTATTTACAATAGAAGAAATAGTTTCTCCAGGAAATTTTAAAAGACGAAAATTTTGTTTTTGAAATATGTAAAAAGTTATTGTGAAACATGCAACAAGTTAATTACATAATTTTAAAACAATTTATACTATAAATTTTCATCCAAGTTGTATCATCTAAAAGATGATCAATCTTGCTATGCTTCAATAACAAACAAATCCACTAATTGATAAACTTTGATAATTGCTACTTCGTAAATGCTAACCAATGTTAACTCTAAAATGTTCCGAAGTATGATAAGCTTTGACTAATTCTGTTCTTTTTATTTCGAATAAAATTTAATCACATAATCGATTCAAATCAAGTGGAATTTACAACAGGAGGTAATTAAAGAAGAAATAATTAACGATGAACTTTTTAAAGACAACCACGTGGAACTTTGTTTAATACATTTCTTCTACCGCTCATAAATTAACAACGTTTTTTAATGGTATAAATAAGAGAAGAAAAACTTTTTCTTTCTCACAGATATAAGGAATATTTTCCCTTTCGCAACAACTTTTTTAAATTTGTACCTTTCAATGCAAATGATTTTGTGGTACTTAATTTTGTATCTTTCCAATGCAAATGATTTTGTGGTACTTAATTTGTATCTTTCTAATGCAAACGATTTTTGTGGTACTTAATTTCTATCCTTCGATTTTATGGTACTTCGTAACTTTTCATCTCACTTAATTATCAAATGAGAAAAATATTGAAGAGAGGAAAAAAGAAACTTTCTAAAAGATTATGGTAATACAAGACAAATGGTACTATACTATTACTTCTTCAAATTCAATTAGTATATTATGCCATCAAATTTGAGTCCAATGAGCATTTTGGTGAATGTGAAGAAACCGTAAAGAAATTATTACGATTGAATTCTTTTAAATTGTTGTATGGAATTACTGCAATTGAATTCTTTGAATTGTTGTATGATTTGCATTCATCGTCATGGTCGTCAGATATATTATGATAAGGCAGTCAATAGGCATAAATGAATTTATTTTCAAATAACTTCTTAAGTGCTATTTTTTAAATATAAATAATCAATAAGCTTCACAAATGTGTCTCCCACATTGTTCATTTCTGTCATGAACAAAATGTTAATCAGCTATCAAAAACAATTTCAACCAAATTGGAAATTTTTTATAATTCTAGGATGAATTTTGAAAAAGCAATTTCTAAGATATTCCAATGGTTAGATTTATCTGTAAGAAGAAAAAATTCAATTAAAATTATCAAAGTTTGAGATGTATATGAATTTAAGAAAAAGAATTGTCAGAATTATGGAAATTTCTATTGGAGAAGGTATAAGCAATGATCAGAAGCATCGACTATTTCGATATAACGAATTTTAGTTTCAATCCAAAACAGTTTGTGAAATATAATAAGGTGCGTTTGTTTTGCGTCTTTTATGGTTACGTTTATTCAATTAGAAATGTCAAAATTAAAGTTCACCGTCAACACGATAAAGTGATGATGATCCACGTAAGTATATTCACGTGATACATATTCACATGTAAAATGTATATATTCTCAAAAAAGAAAAAATGGGAAGAAACAAAAATAGAAATGATAAATACGATATGATTGAAACTTGGAAAAAGTATATTTCGTATTTAAAAATCAGAAATTGCTGCAATATAAATGTAATGCGAACTTTTAAAAATGTTAAATTAGTAAAAAAATTTTTTCAAACAAAAAATTTATAAAATTTTAAAACTAAATCAATTTCGCTTAAATATCTATCAAATTTTTACGGCAAACAGAAGATCGTAATTACAAATTTATCCTATCACTTCTCTGCTCCTCTATTTTTCTAAATGATTTTTCTTTCCTTAGAAAAGTCACAGATATATATTTGTTTGTTTACTTTTTTACTCATTTATTTATTTAAGTAAAATTTTTTCCTTTTAAAGATATCGGAATAGAAACGAATGAATTATCTAATTTATGTATATTTTAAAAATGATCAGAATTCATCATAAAATTATAATCCAAATGATTTGCAATATTCTGTGTAATTATATCTATTAAACACATTCACTACTTATAAACTAATTCTATTAGTTGGTTAAATTTATTGAAGCAAAGAATAAATATATCTTTTAAGGTTGGAAGCACCGATAAGTGAAGCACATAAAGAATAATAGTTAATAAGAATTACGTATGAAAATAACATGTCTCCTCTAAATGTTAAAAATCTTTGTAAATTTTTTTTTACTAGTTCAATCTCTGCAAATTATAATTTTTTATGATTTTTAATAGAACAACATGTATTTATTTTAGTATTATAAATCTTCATCGATTTTAGCGTTTGAAAGAAAATAGTTATAATTAGAGTTTATTATAGATATGAATGGAACTTGTTCTTGCATAGCAAAAAAAGATCAAAATTATTACATGGAAAAACAGCAGGACTAAATATGGTAATAATTTCGATTGCATTTGATAATTATGTAAAGCTAATCACAGCAAATACCCAGAATGATAAATACTAATCACCTTAACAATAAGATGAAACCAAAAAGTCGAGCTGCAACTAAATTAAATTAAGTGAAAATTGTGAAATATAACTATCAATACTCGAATAAGTATCTCGCCATATAATGTATATACCAATAATTATCACAGAAACTATTTCAGGTAAGGATTAAATGAAATAAATGGAAAGAAGAAACAAATTCTCTTTATTGTCTATTATTGTTATTATATCATTTCTCTGATATTTTACAAAAACAAACAGGATAAATGAAGGCAAAACAATCCGGAAAAATTGAAAATGTTTCCAGCAAGGCACTACGTGTCAATCAATATTCTACTTAGTACTTCTGATGAAAAATTGCCTTTTTTCAGCGCTATTTAAAAATGAAGGAAACAGGACATAACTTTGTTGGGATGCCGTTTTTTTGAAATAATTTTTCCAAGTTATCATCACTTTCCAACAGCATACTATTCATTCCCACGATGTTTGTGTTCAGTGCACGGTCCATATTTCAATAAATTTCTATTCCGTATTAAAATAGAGAGTTCTCATTCAAAGTTATAAATTATCACATATTTATTTGTACATAGAAAATATTCCACTGGTCCATAAACTAACCTCGGGAAATTCAATACCCGTATAACATTTCCTCTATATCAAGTTAGCAAACAATCATGAAAACATGAATCTAAAATTTACGATAGGAACACACTACGCACCAAATAAAAATTTAGGAATAATCTCAAAAATTTTCAAACCTCAACAAAAGATTTATAGTGTCCATCATTCTATAATTTACCGTGTACTCTTTCTAGGAATTGTGTTAAAAAATTCAGGATGTTTCTGATTGCCGAAAATGTCGCTGCTCGCAATCTGTAACAAAGGTAATGATGTAAAAACATTTTGGTTTAACATTTATTCCCATGTAATGCGCTTATCACATTATTATTCTATGGTATTTAGATATGACAAAAAGTAATGGAAGCATTTGCTTGAATCTCTAGTATTACTCCGTCTTCGAATAACTCCGATATTTATTATGTAGGAGGCATAGTCAATTACAGAATTAGCCATCAATCATCCCTTATTCCGCGTTTTTGCTTCCTAATTATTATAAGTTTTACGAAGATATTTCGCTCTTCCCACTTTTATCGACACTACTCGAGACAATCATTAAAATATCACGTTCCGAGCTTATGATTTCCATAATGTATTCATAAAACTTTTGGATGGAGAAAGATAAGTGAAATAATAAACAAACCTTCTGGTCTAATAACAAGTACACCTTCTTCTTTCAGCTTCTTGAGAGTAGCCGTATACGAACTTTCTGGCAAACAACGATTCTCCTCTGGTCTCGGAGAATATCGTGGATTATTTTTACTTAAAAAACATCAGTTAATCTATAGCACCTAGAAAACATCTGTAAGATTTGGAAACACCAATCATAATGCTATATTCAAAAAGCGAAGAAATAAAGAACTAATTCGTTCCAATGTAAAACCTTTTTAGAATTCGTTCCTCATGGCAACAAAGGGCGACATCATTTGCATCTTTATCACAGTAACCAAAAAATTTTCCTAAAAATTGGAAGACTGATAAGACAATTAAGCTTAGTTTTTTCTAGTCTGAATCATAAAATCTAGTGAGATTTGGAGAAATAAACTTGAAAGCAAACCAAAAGAATGATTAGCATAACAACGCTTCATACGTTCAATCAAGAAATTACACTCAACGGTATGTGAATAGTACGAAAGGTCAGCCTGCATCTTCTGTTTCTGAAAATAATTAACATATAATTTTACCTTAGACTTCATCATATCACTCGCAGTTACTATAACCATAGCGCATCACATCTGACAACTAGAAAAGATGATTTATGAAAATCATGACATATCATGCCGCGATTAATAGTCTACTTTTGGACAATTCGAAATATGTTTCGGGATCGATATCTTCTCTTGGATCAATTAATTGCCTCAGAAATATTTAATGTTGCAATTTATCACTTCAATTTTTTTTAATGTCTCGATTCAAGTTTTGGCTAATCAAATAGGCACAAACGTTCAATTTATCAATGTAAAGGATGGCATTTAATTCAAACACTGCATCAGTACTAGTATTGTTACAGCATATATTTTTATACTCCTCCAGCGTACGAGTGCAGAAGGTTCCGGGAGAAGTTCACAATTAAAGTCATCAATTCCGTCCTTCCTATCAAGTTCAGTTATCGATATTACTGCAACTTTTGGAATACGATCTGCATTATATTTTACTAACTAAAACTAAAACACTCACTATCGGTTATAATAATTATAACGATCGTCCGTGACAACTACATCTATTGTTGCCCCTTGCTCAACAACCATAATACCATTCGCTCAAAAGAAAAGCAAATGCTTAATTGTGTTAGCTTTTTCTAGCAATTTATCCAGAGCTTGCTTATATTTTTTATTTTTTTTACAGGAACAATGGAAATTCATATTATGCAATCACAAGTATAATTTCTGGTCAAATAATTTCCACACGAGCAAGTAAAGGATTTATGATCTCCAAATAGAACATTCAAGAAATTACCGGAGTCTAAAATGTCGGAAAAGATTAAAATATGACAATGCACTATGAAGAGAAGCATGATTCTATAAAGAACAAATTTCCAATTATACTAAAGATATTTTAATCCTGATAAACTAATAAGACCATAAAACAAAAGTAAAGCATTTTCATTGCAATCTGACAGATATACCGGAAAACCGAAATATTTTTACAATACACATATGTTGAAACAATTGTGTAGAAATATAGAAGATAAAAGTTGTTTTGTCCAGAATACTCTCAATCGAATGATTAATTTACTAAACTTCTGTGTTTACTTGATTTTTGAGTCTAAAGGGAATAGTAATATAGTATTCATCCAGCACTACGATCAGTTATACTATCAACAAGTCTTTCACCCACAGACTTCTATTTCAATCAGCAGAATTCATCTCAACGAATACTTCTAACAATGTTTAACAATCAGCACCACTAGAAATACTGCCATCCATACCCAACCTGGCGACCTACTCTAATCATGATTCTCTGATAACTACCTTATGAAGAGTAAACTCTTTATTGATTAAGAGAATCTTCATCACAAATTCCGACTGTGCCAGAAAATCAAAAAATACTTTTGCAGTAATTTATTTTAGTTAGTGGTACAAAATTAAATTATAGCAAAAATAATTTATTGACCAAAATAATTTGGAGATCGCTAAGAGTCTAATCAGAAGTAAGCAATGGCAAAAGCAAAAGGAAAACTTTCCAATGGAGTTAAATGAATGAATCTAACGCCATTTGATCAAATGTTAACAAGAGAAAAATCTGTCAACAATATGATGAAAAAAAATTGCCGAAGAAAAAATTATGCGCTTCGAATTACATATCGTCATTCTCGAAATTACCAACAAAAATTGTCTGGAATATATTCAACCATTAACGATTCTGACAAAAAAGGAAGAAGAAAAATATGCTCAAATTGTCACAAGCAGTTATATTAAATCATCAGGTCTTTTAACACAGCTTCTACCCCAGCCATTAGCAGAATTCATTTGAATGAATACTTCTACCATTGTTCAAAATCAGTACTATCAAGAATACTGCATTTATATTCAACAAGAATATTCATATACCTATGTTCCGCTCATACCTATGATAAGTTTGAATGTAACTATTTCAAGTACTAAATTCAACGATTTATAATATTAAAAAGCAATCTACTTTAATCGAGATATTCTCTGATAAATAAATGTCTCTTCTTTTTTACACAATGTGGTTGCGCAATGTGCAAACGGAATGATTTTATTGATAAATAAATGTCCAAGAGTTCTAGTTTGCTGAAATTGAACAAATTTTTCAAACGCTTAGATAGGATAACTGAAAATACTTATGAGTGCGAGTTTGAGAATGTGCGTATGGAATGATTTTGCTGTGAAAGTTTTTTTTACACAATGTGGTTGCGCAATGTGCAAACGGAATGATTTTATTGTTAAATTTTTTTGATGTATCGAAGATTTTGTTGATGGAATTGTTTGTTGATACATAACCAAAATAGACAACCTCTGTTGTGATTTAAAAATACGATCTAACACAGGCCACTCTTGGTATTCCGAAGTAAACTGTCAACTGAAAAGCATTCCGAAAATTTTTTTAAAGATTAACGAAGTTCTTAGCGATGCTTTGTAGTGCAATAATATCTCAGTAGGCTTGCAAGCGAAAGAAAATGTCTTTATGAATGACATTACCACCAAGCGAATGACTTCCTACTGCAACTTTGAGCATAGACATTTAATGTTAGTAACTGGACCCACTTTCTGAAATTACAAAAAACATTGACTTAAATGAATATTGAGCGATGAAATACTCCCCTTATATACACTGCTAATCTTATATATCGAAGAGGAAACACGATGTGTAGCAATGACTTTAAATGCTTAAATAATGAATTAAGCGGTAATGTTTATTAATAATTAACATACTTCTTCTTTTTGACCAGTGCGACGCATAGAGAACTGGATAAATGCGACTTTTCTTCTGATAAATGCGACCTTTCTCTTATTGCTAAAAAACCCATTGCGTCTTCCAAAAATAAATTCTTTGAAATTCCATACCACATTTATGTGCAAAGGTTCTCTTTCTTTTATAAAGAATAAACACTCTCAAAAATGAATTTTCTTGATAACTTATATGGAGGTAAACTTTAGAAAGAACCCACCTCTAGCCGAATTTCAAATAATTCTTCCGCTTGTTAAATTAGCACGCACTCTCGGGAGTGTTAGCCTCAGTGAAGTGCCTTTCATATAGTCAAATTCATAAACACTGGCAGCACTTGGAATTGTCACCGCCATATCGAAAAAATCACCGAGATTTGAAATTTTCAAGTGAAATCTGCTGGACCGCATTCGAAAATCAGGAGAGTTTCACTTCGCCATAATCCCTAAATGTTCATTTACTGCGAATGAAGCGAAAAGTAACTCACCAGATCATCTCAAAAATTGTCCGGAAGCAGTTATCACCCATATTCCCAACCGAGCAACGCTTGTAAAACCGGACCAAGTTATGCTACAATGACCAGCCACATATCGACTTCTTAATTTCTCTTTGTCTGTTTCCCTTATTTGTTCAATCCATAATAACACTATTTCTCCTAGTTCTTATCAATCCTTTCTATCCTCTCGATTTCGACACTCTCCTTCACTCTTAATCATTGTCGAACGATCCCTGTATCATATCCTCAACGATATCGTTGTCATATTCCGTTACCGCAGCTCGATAGATAGAAAAAGCGCAAGTGCTCCACGTTAAGTCACGTGTGTTCTGAGTCATGCTTCTGCGCTTCATCTATCACTTATGTCAGCCTTTTTGACAATCAATCGTTTAGTCACTTCACATCATTTATCAACACTTCCTAGCTATCTGTGGAAATTACATTGATAGTAGAATTTGAGTAGGATTCAAATTGTGGTGCGGAATAATAAAACCACTACCGATCCGAAATGCTATAAATAACGGATAATAGAACTAAGTTGTAATAGTTGGGAATCAGAATTTGACAATACAAACCATGTATCGATTATCGCACAATAAAACTGTAATGCTATTGCTAATGTGTCATCAATTTGAAACTTGGAAAACTGTCTAAATAATAAACTGATTACGATAAATACACGAATTTTATAAGCATGTCGTTTCCAAAATTATTTCTTACTATCAGTAATTTGCAACTGTTGATAATTCTATTTATGCCCGATGACGAAGTTTCGAACTTTACATTATTTTAAAATAAATTAATTCAGTTCTAATTTTCACTTTAATTTCAAAGTAATTTTATTTTGAACACAATACTTTATTTCATTCACAACTATCTCTTCAAAAAAGGATAAAAATATACGATGAATAGTAGTAAGTATTTATAGTGTGCAAACAATCCTAACAAATTCTAAGCAGACATTAGCCTGGAAATGAAACAATGCGATCTTTTTACCTGCAAAGGTTATCTGACAATGAATTTAAATTATGAAATTCAACAATTTTAAAAGTAGAATATGTAAACATACAAACAAGAGAATCAATAACTGCTCCGGTGTAAATATATAAACTCTGCTTTCTAGTTACAGCGAAAAACACAGATAGTGCCGATTAAGAAGTAGGTTGTTATCCCTTAGATTCTATCTAGTAATGAGTAAATCTATAACAAACTATTAATGTACTACAGTCTAGTAATATATACAATCTATAGAATCTTATCTGTGATAGAAATCACTTTTGTAAATATGAATTGCTGTCGAAAACTAAGAATTTAGAATTATTGTAGAAGTGAGAAACGCAGAAATCACATTTTAAATTTCTTCTTCTAAATAAAAAGAAATCTGGAAAATTCAAAATTTCTGCATTCAGGTAAATATATTTTACTTTTGCGCAATCACATGAATGGTAATAAATTATAAAATACTTCATTTTTAAATATCTTTCGTTTAAACAAAATAAGAATTGAAAGACCTATCAGTTTAAATTTATCACCTGTTATGATATCCAACTTCTCAATAATATTTCATTTATGGTTAATTAAATTATTTTCGAAGATTTCCTCAAAAACCCTCAAAAAATAGTGAAGATTTCTATTAGATTATCGGCGAAGAGATTTTCAGGAGAATCTTCAACAGAGACATACGGTAATATATGTGTTATTACGATTGTCTTTTGTGACGACAATTGAAAAATGTTGATATTGGAGGTAGCTTCGTTTTAAAATTCGGATATTTAGTATCAAATGGATCATCATCGTGAAGAGTATATGGTAAGCTGGTCATTCCACATGTATCAATCACTGTTGTCTGAACTTCATCGGTACCAGCTAATCTTTCTTCAACCGTTATCGGAGTGTAAGGAATCACGAAATCTTTTGGATCAATGCATAGCTGATTTTGTCGAACACGTTGAATTATATTTGGAAGATAATTCGATGGTAATTGATCATCGGATTCGTTAGCTGGTAATATTAATGATGAGTTATCTGGTTCTATTTGCTGTAAGATTGTTTCGGTGAATAGTTGAATGTTTGGTAGGACAAGTTCATTATTTGATGTTTCTATCAATTGTATCGATCGGAGTCCATTTTCTGTCATAAAATTCTGTGATAAAGGATTCGGAGATGATGAAGTATTGCTTGATTCATCATCTAAATCTCCAGATTCCATAGGTGAACGTGGTTTAGTTAGCCACCCTGATAAGCTTAAATTATAATATTTTTCCTGAAAAAAAATGAAATGAGCAATGAAATGAAATATATTTTGAAATTTCTGAATTGCAGTTATAATTGATGTTATTATTGAATCTAACAGATTATAAATTAACTACCTGATGCCCATAGTAATGATTAAAATTATGAGATGATAAATCAACACTGTAATTGCTGATGAGCTAGTACTGTTATCATCATAATTCAATCTACGGTATACCCAAAATATTTTATTTCCGAAATCCCATCCGGTTATTAATTGCTATTGAAACATTTTTCTCTGTTTGTTTTAAGGTTTTTCATGTGCTAATTATGGCAAAAGAAATCTTCGGTCAGTAGTATATAAAATCAATCCTAATTCCTCAATATTGCTTTCCTGACCGGTTCTCCTTTCAAATCTTTTTGATTCTCTTTCATCCTGACAGCTAATAGTAACTACTATCCCAATCCTTAATTTACAAATAATCTCAATGTAACTTAGGGTAACTTAAGGATAACTTATTGTTCATTGAGTTGCAAATAATCTACAAATAAACCCAATCCTTAAGTTACAAATAATCTCAATCATGCTAATCAAATATTGCTGAAAATATGCTCCTGACTGGATTCATCCAACTGTTTGTTTCAACTATTGCAAGGAGATGAGAAATTCGTTTGAATATATTTTTAAAAAGATTAAATTCATCTTACTATCCATCTCTCCCGACATGACATTCGCTTTCTGACTCGATGTGAAGTACCACTCATTTCATATTTATCTGAAAAAACTGTTCTGTAATCCAATGAAAAGAAAATTTTTGGAATTTCTAATCAAATTTATCCCTTAAAAATTTGATTAGAAATATTTTCAAATATTTAAATTTAAATATCATTTAATATAAAATATGAAAAAGAAATTACCTCCAGAACGATCAATTTTATTTTTGCCGGGAGCCATTGTAACTGTGCGTAGCGGATTGCGCAATGTTAAAAAATAGCACAGGAAGTTTTCGAGCTCTGTATACCTTTGTCTCTAACCTCATCTCTTAGATTTTGAGAGGGAATGTTTTCCTCCTATAGAGATCACTATGCTGAACTCTGACCCCTAACCTCTAACAGTGACATATTTGGAAGCAACAGTGCTAGAAAGCACCGCTATTGTTTACCATATCTTAAAAAAAATCAATTTTTACTACTAAATTACGCACTCCACTACATTGCCTTGCATGAAATTAATCTTTTCCTCCTTTCTTAATATATTACTAAAGTAAAGATGTGTGTAATTTAATAAGGTATGGTAAACAATGGAAAAGATAATAAATTGAGCAGGTATTACGGAAAGTATAAAAATGGTTTACGGAAGACACTGTCACATTTGAATATCTTCCATTTAAGCCAAGCATTCGCTATTCGTAACTTTTTTCTATAATCATTGATAATTTGTAATCACTGATAAGATATTTTGTAAAAGTCAAATATCGCACTTTTAAATATTTTTAAAAAATAAAATTAGAAAAAGTCTCGAACTGTAATGAAAATGTATTTGATAACAAAAATTAGCGATGAAATTTTGCACCTCAAAATTGTTACTTCGATTTACGTATTCTGCGTGAAGTTATTTAACAAAAAGTTTTGCCTAACTGCAGTGCACATTATGAGATAATACTGTCTTCAAATATAATGATAGATTTCTAATTAACAAAAACAATTAGCTTTAATGAAAGAAATTACTTTTAATTAAGAAATTATGCTTAATTATTTCATAATTTGTTTGCAACAGTAAATTCGTAAGAACAAAGTATCCAACTAATTTTTCATCTACTCGATAAATGAAACCTTCCGATTCTATTAACATTGTTATTTTCTTGGAAAACATTTGAAATTTTGAGTCTATAAAAATTGATAAATGATTAACATTGTAAAGAGATGATAAGAGATGATAAAAAAAAGAAAGAGATGATAGCATTGTAAAGAGGTGATAAAAGAAAGCAAAGAAATTATGCGAAATTTTAATCGAACAAAAATTAATTGGAAACTCTTAAAGAAAACTCTGAAGTGATTTTGTTTAAATGAATTGAAGATGAGAAAGATGACGATTAGATGAGATTAATAATCTTATTTATTAAAGATATGCGAAGAATATTCTTTGATCGCACTACAATTGACAGTAAGGACAAATATAGCATACGGTAGGTTGAAATTTAATAGGAATTATCATTCTGTGGAAAGCATATCATTCATCTTTTATTGAGCTATTTTTACATATTTAAATTTGAAATTTGAAAATTAAAATATTACAAAAATCTAAATATTTTTATACTCTTTGATTATTGAATTTAGGAAAAGTTTATTAAATAATAAATAAATGATCAGATAGAAGAAAAATCAATGCTTTTCCGTAATCAATGCTTACTGTATCACGTTGACCGGAAAACGATATTCTTTATCCGGTTTCTTCTCATTTTCATTCATTTTATTTTACAAAGAAATTATTAAATATAAGAAGTATAAGATCAGAGAAAAAAAACCGCAACCTGTTGTTTTCAATGAATTTGATAAATTTTCTTTATTTTTATGAAAATGAAATTTATAAATAACTAATTACGATGAACCATTTTAATGAATTTGTCAATTGCTATCTTCTAAGAAAGTTTCCACACCGTTCATTAATCCTCCGATAATTTTATTTTTTTTGATTGCTGCATTCTTTTAGTCTTAAAATTAAATATGACTGAAATATGTTCGAAAATTAATGAACCCCGTTGATTCATTTGCACACACCATTAATTTTACAATTCTGTTCTTTGTAATTAATTTTTTTTGCTCATATTATTGGCGATAATATCACAGTGGGGATGATAAGTTCACATGATAATGACCACGCTATCATTTATCCTGCCAGATCACCAAGCTATCACTTGCCTTGCCAGATCACCAGGCTATCTATCCTTCATTTATACTTCAATCATTCTCATTTCTTGTTGCACTTTAGATATTTTGAAATATGATATTTGTGTATGTAAGGAGGGAGGGATAGAGAGAGAGAGAGAGAAAATGAAATAGAGAAAGAGAGAGAGAGAGAGAAGATGAAAATTTGTCCATTTGATTTTCGGCTCTTTCATGTCGTATTTATTTCATTTTATGTTCTGCTCTGTTGAACTTTTCCATTTAACAATAAGAAATTTTGTGCACCTAAAAGATTTATTGTACTTAACAAACAAATTTTTCAATGTTCTTCAAAAAACTCCCACTCATTTCAGTTTAATTTAATTTGAATCCTTTTTTCCATAATTATTTTTCATTTCATTCATATAAATTATATGAAATTACTTTACTCTTCTCTGAATGGTCACTTATATGTCCATCTGTTTGCTATTTGGTCATTTGTATAAAATTATTTTACTCTTCTCTGAATGGTCACTTGTATATCCGTCAGCTTGCAATTTGGTATTTGTATGAAATCACTTTACTCTTCTCTGAATGGTCACATATATATGTCCATCTGTTTGCTATTTGGTCATTTGTATGAAGTCATTTTACTCTTCTCTGAATGGTCACATATATGTCCATCAGTTTAAAATTGAAAACACTTATTTTACAACAAATAATTGTAGTAATAACTATTCGGATAAGTCAACAAATGCTTAGGCAACAATGATAATGATAATGATGTTGATTTTGATAATAATGATGAGCAGAAATGCAATGATAATTGACTAATTTACTGTACAGTAGCTATTTGATGTAATTACTGTATGGTTATTGTATGATTTCGATTTCTTCATTTCTCATTAGGAATGAATTTACTATCAAATCGATGAAAATGAAATAGAATATGAGTGTAAGCAATTTCGCGTCAATGAAAATTAAGCAATTTTTCAAGTTTATTATACTTTTATCATTTGACCATTTTATCGAATTAATCAACCGAAAAAGTGTGAGATAACTTTTAAATTGTAGTATAACTTTTTTCAAATGTTTAAATTCTTCTGCACTGGAATAACCAGTTTTGTGATAATAGTTCAGGTGTAGAATGTAATTTTATAGTAATTCAGGCGTAGGATATGATAGTGGTTTAGGCGTAGGATATGATAGTGGTTTAGGTGTAGGATATGATAGTGGTTCAGGTGTAGGATATGATAGTGATTCAGGTGTAGAATATGTAGAATATGCCACTGCTATTTATCACATGTGAAGTTTCGCAATGAAATTTATGGAAAAGCTTAATTTAGCCTCTTTATGTACGAGTTGACGAAAGAGACAGGTTGAAAATTTTGGTAAAGAAAAGTTAAACTTTTCCAAAGAGCAAAAAATGATAGTTATAAAAATATGTCTTCGGTTATTGTACAAATACATTAACTTAAATGAAACAACTAGTGGACTCACTAGCTAATAATTATTTATTAACAAAAGCTATTAATTAGTAATAGCATTTTGCATACTATGCAAATTACTTCTTCAGCAGAATGAATATTTGATTTAAACTTTAAGCAAAATAAAAGTAAATTTCGTTTATACAAAGACCCAACGAAATTTAGAAATTTGTTGCCATTGTGTTCCTACAACAGACATACAACAAAGTTGCTCGTTTGGAAAAAATTTTATTTTCAAAAAGAAAAAAGGCTAAATTAAATATTTCGAAAAAAGGTAACATTAGAATTGACTCTATCGAGATTTTACAATTCATTCAGATTACAATATCTCAATAATGATAGTGTTGAAAGTGTTTTTCTAATCTGAAATTCTTATTTAAATAAAATAAAATTCATAAGAAACAGTATGAATAGAAAAATACTTCACAATCCTTTTATATTCTTGTTTAAGTTCAAAGTTCACAGAGTGAAGATAAAAACGAAAAGTTTGGAACAGAAAACTTTAAGAGCTCTGATTTAGGCGTTTAATAGTAGAAATCCTTAACAGCTATTACATAATCAGCACCTTGTTATAGTTTTGAAACAAAAGCTATGCAAAGGAAATTTTTTAAACCTCTGATAAGTTAAAATTTTAGAACTCTGATAATCTCTGATAAGTTAGAACAATCATTTCATGCAACAAGTCAGATAAACCTATAATACAATGGAGTAACAACGACGTCTAGTAACTGTGATAAAAGCTGATAATCAAATTATCATATGAATTTATACATTTTCCAAATTTGCAAATACATTTTTAGATTAATCATTATGATATTCAATGAGCCATGAAATAAATACCTTGCTCTATCAATGGTAATTATAAGATTCTGTCTTCCTTTATCGGTTTTACCACATTGTTGTCGTCCAACTACTTGTTATGCCAACTACTTTACCCCATCAAAATGACCTTAATGACCATCCAATGAAGTTATTGAATGTAAAATGAAAGGCTAAAATTAACTCACAACGATATATATTATCGATCAAGACAATACAAATCATTATTCACCTAAAGTTGTAAAGTACTAATGGCAATGTTACTTTATTACTTTCTAAAATCATTTTCCACATCTATACTTTGCATATCTTCTTTCTCAAAAGGAAATTATATCATTTGGAAAAATGGACTTCGATTCATGAGTATCATGATTATAATAATCATTTCCATTGCTGATATTATCAAAAATTTTCCCATTTATATCCTTTTGAATATATAAACTATCTTTATATTATAATCGTAAAACATTCGCAACTGAATAATGATAATGATAATGATAATAATAATGATTAATAATAGTATGATGCTCTGAACGTCGATACAATTTCCCCAATACGACGAAAATGTAATAATGAACTTTGCTCTTCGTAAAACATTCTATTACAATATTTCGAAAGATTTACAGAACTATTAATTTTATTTCTAAATCATTTGAAAATTCAATTATTTTAAATTTGAATGGAGGAAATAAATCTTAAAAGAAAGGAATGATTAGATAATATTGATTAAAACTTGTCTATGCTTAAATTTATAAAAAGCTCGAAAATATAAAAAGTGGAACTAATTAGCTATAAAATTATAAACAAACGAAAATTTATAAATTTGATATCATCATGAATTTACGTTAATTTATTTTAGTTTTAAGTTAAGTAACTTTGCCCAAAAAATATTTCATACAAACAAGCAATAGTTCTGCCATTCTTTCTTTTTACAATATTCCACAAAAATTAAAACATATAGTTATTGATGTCAAATTTTTATCACTTTTAAGATATGCACTGATAAATGGATGGTAATGCTGGCAAATATCATTTATCACCAAACCATTTTTCATCATCCATCTTCTTCATCCTTTATCACTTGCTGAATTATTTTCACTTGAGAATCCCTTTTTATTTTAAACTCTCCAACAAACGACAGACACTTTTGTCACCTTCTTCATTCTACTTACCAAATATACAGTATACTATCTATTATTCTTGATTGCATTACTATCAAGATAGATTTTACAGCAATAAAGAAAAACACTTCTCTTCTATTTATGAAGTATAATATCACCGCATCTCTGATATCCTTATCTGCAGAACTTTTTGTATATCAATGCGTATCACATATAAGTGAACAAATTATGATATCGTTTACATATTAGAAATTTCAAGAATTAATTAATAATGAATTTTCTTAATGCTTTTTTTCCATTCATTTATAATAAGCAATGCCAAGAAATTTCCAATTTGAATAGTTTGAATTCATTTATGAAAGAAAGGGAAAACAAAGAAATGCAATCTTTCTTATCATATCATTATTATTGTATTCAAAGAAGCTAAGATAATGATCATTGGAACCTTTGTATTATTTCAAACAGCTCTCAATTATTAATATCAGACAAAAGCAAAAATTCTACATGTTTATTGATTTATTTTTTATATTCTCAATGATGGTAAAGTTGGAAGCAAACATTAAAATTCGAAACTTATCAAATAAAATGAAATATGATTCCCTCCGCCTTTTCACTTCTATTTTTTTAAATTTCAAAAATTGGAAAATTTCATTGAAATGATGAATCATTCATTGAGTGTGTTATTTCTTTATACAACCCCTCCATTTGAATGAATAATAAAGGGGTGGTGACCTGTCCTATCATTGTTATTATTAGTATTAGAGTAAGAAGGAAGGAAGGAAGAAAGGAACAGGTTGGCTGCACAAATTTGTCATCCTGTCTATCTGTCCATTTGAACGACATGGAAGATGGATGGATAGATGGATGGATGGGTGGATGGATTGATGGATGAATGAATGCCCTGAGGTGAGCATAGGCGTAATGCGGAAACTAAATAGTAGTAGCAATAAGAGTAATAATAGTTATGCAAAAGGCAATCATTATCATTGCAATTGCAGTTGCAAAATGCATGTCACATATGAGTAGTTCTATTATACTAAATAATACATGTGATTAGTAACACATTACAATAATACTAAATGAATGCACAATGGATAGGATCATCTCTTCTCCGTTATTTCACCCAAATAATAAATTACGGTACACGCTTCCACTTACCGTAATAACATTAATTACTCGTTTTTTTCATAACTATCTGTGAGTGTAAATGGCTCCAGCAGTCATAGTAGAAGGTTTGGTTTCCTACTTCAATTTCTCCACTTCATACGAATGGAAGTTCGATTTGATGTAAAGAAGGAATTTCATATAATAAGAACTTTTTTAATTAAATTCAAATGGTATCTTCGTGTTTAATTAATGATGACTGCTTTTGTTATCGTTTTTTTCTCACTAAAAAACTTTTGAAATGTTAAAAGTTGTTGTAGTATTTAAGTTTTCCATTTCATCCACATCAATTTTAGATGAAGTCTGATTAAAAACTTCATAAATTAAATTGGAAAGTTGAATGAGTAAAATTTGAAATTTGATGATTAATAGATCGATGATTAAATCTCTCTTGCATTAGCCATATTTGTTAATCAGTTATTGCAAAATTAATTCATTGAGGTACTTCTTAAAACTTCTGCTTTTTTTTAATCTCTAAATTCAAAGTAGAGATGAAGTTTGTCTTGTTGCTTCAATAAGTAAACACTTCTCAATGAACGATTCACAAGCCACATTTTGCTGTATTAATAACAATTGCGCTCTTTAGATGCTACTACTGCTAAAAATATCTTCAAACGAAAAGTTACTTCCGCCCAAGCTGCAATCAGATTGAATCAGTTCAATAGCCTTTTCTTCCTGAAATAGCACAACTTCCCTCTCTATCATAACTTCCCATCACTGCACTAACACAATGCGGCGTCGATAACTTCATCATTCTACTCCAGTCGGTTCAATCTTCTATTGTGAAAACATTCTTACAAAAACGTCTAAATAGCTTCATCTCTATTTCGGATAATGATCTACGAAGAGGTAAAATCTAATTTATGGCATCCAGGTATTTCGCCTATACAGTATGCATAATGAATTTAAAATCAACACACAAACCGGGATGTGGATTAATATTCAAAAGTCTCGTGTATTTACCAAAAGTACAGTATCTTCTGATATTGCAAAGAAATGCTCCCTCGATGGATATATCTGCACATACAGTAATTCAAAAGAGCTATTTGTCTGTGCACTACTAGTAATTTGAGTGTCGACAGGCCTATCCAAACCTACAGGAATCTAAAACTGGTTTTAAGTTCTCCATATTCAAAATTAATCCTTTGACTTCCAGGCTCATATCAAGTTTTAGCGGCAGAACTGTCTGGCATAAAGAATCAATCATAACTATGAATAATATGGAAGTGTTGGAGCTGTTAAAAGAAAATGACTAAAACTACGAAATCGCAAGGAATCCTACCAATTGGAAGCTGCAGCTAAGAAGAATTAAATTTTCAACCAGAATTCTTAGGCTCTTACGATCTTCAACCAATGCATATTGCGCACGTTGAGTAGATTAGCAATAAAAAAATTTAATGCTCCAATATGAAAGTACAGAAATTAATAGTGTGTCACGAAATGCATAACATTTTCAAAAAAAGCTGGTAAAAATAATCCCATTATTACTACTTTAAAAATTTCAAAAAATGGAATATTTAAGAACTTTAAAAAATTATCTCATAAAAAATACAAAAAATTACAAAAACACAAGTATACAAAAATAAAATAAGTTAAATGTTATTACATATAATTACAATTCAATAATTGGGACAGTGTGCTGATTGACTGTTATTTCAGTGATTGTATGCGAACCATTGTATTGAAAACTTTCGAAGCGCGTATTGTTAGCATCTGTCCAAATTTTCTATAATACAGCAAAACTTCAGCATGGTTTTACTCCATTACAACTGAAAACAATTTGCACGAATGTGACTGACGAAAAATTATGATCATATTTCCGAAGAATGTCCAGAAGAATATAGCTGAAAAATTATGACTTAAACAGAAAAAGTGAAATGATAATGCTTAGCATTTCGTTCGCCTTGTTTTCCCGAAGTTCTTAGCTCTTACTAATACATCATAAGATGCACCAATTAGGTTTTGGCAACTAACAGTTTCATTTTTTAACTGGTCGGCTATTACATGAATCCGGCTTTCATCACCGCCTCCATAGTCATGTAGCTGTAACTGCTCCGAGCTTCGAGACAAACCAGATGCCCCCTCAACAACAAATGCCAGCCTATTGATTATCTGCTCTGAAAAACAAAGCTTTCCTAACTTTAACTATCCCATAATGAGGCAAGTTTTAGATCGACTTGACTTCCCTTCATTCGATCAAAAGCTAAGTAATCCTTTATCAGAAAGTTTTGAAACACTGATGATTACAATCAATTTTTCTGAAAACCCAATCTCACATACAATACAAGCACTGAGTAAGTACACTAAGTTTCGCACTGTCAATCTGAACGTGAATGAAGTATGACAAATCTAACTACAGTAGAATTTACCTTGACCATTAGAAATGACTTGTACTGATCCAGACCGACCTTCGAAAACTTCAGGTTTCTTCAGTTTCATCTGCAAAATAGCAATAATTTTTGCCTTATTGTAATAAATTTCAAAAATTTTAGAATGTCGAAACGTGATACAATGAGTAAGCCAAATTGTAGAAGAGTGGAAATTTTTATCAGTTCATTCGACCATCAGCACTATTCGCTTGATGAGTTATGGAAAGATAAAGATTAATGAAAACTTCTTTTCTTTATCTTTCCACAAATGTAATTACCGCTTCAAATGTTACATAAACAAATAAGTGGATTACTTCACTGTCTTGCTTTGTGTTTTTCTCTTCAGCTGGTTCGCTTTCATCATCCTTGATAATCCTGAATATTTCAGCTTCCGATAATGCAGAATCATCCTTCCCAACTTTGTCAATATGTGGTAAATCCAATTTCGTCTCCGAAGGAATACTCTGCAATAGAAACGAAGCTCCTATACAATAACGAAGCAGAGAATTCTGAGGCGGAAAAAGGGAGAAAGATGGAGAGGAAAAGTTCTACAATTACAAAGTGCAAAAATCAAAAGAAATGAATGAAACCCAGTGATGTTAATGCAAAACAAGGTAATAAATTCCATATTACATGTAAGAAACAAAGAAAAAAATTTTGATTCGTTTTTCAGTTATTATTTGCAATGAGTTTGCAAATACTAAGAAAAATGGTTCATAGTTTTAAAAAACTCTAACTTCTGTTTCTCCCTTCTTATTCAACTCTACATCAGTTTCAGTCTTCGGAAGTTCTTCAGTTCCTTGTTCTTTATCCGACTTTCCTTCCTTCAGTTCCAACTTGTTGTCATCATTATTCTTCGTTTCGCTGGTTTTTGAAATTGGGATGGAAGTCGTCGCTATATCGCTCGACGTCTTTTTACATTTCGGACCTCGTTTTCGAGGCATTTTGGAAGATTTGCTGCTTTCTGTGCCAGGTTCTTCTGCTGGAGTTACTGGAGTTCCGGGTCTTGAATGAATGCTCGATCTTGGTGAAGCTTCTGAGCCTTGAAAGAATCAATAAGTACATTTGCAAAAACTACTGAAACAGTGACATTTATATAAATCAACATATTTAACTATTTGAAAAAGAGTCAACTTGATAATAGATGCTTCTGAAAAAACCGTAAATAAATAGTGTTGTAAAATATACCTTCTGAACGAGTATCACTAGCGCCCTCATCATAACTTTGATCGTTGCCATCCGAATCATCGGAGTCCGAAATTTCTTTTACTTTCCGTTTCCTTCCACGATTTGACCTTCTAATTCCCCTCCGAGTTCCACCTTTAAAACCGCTTGGTACGGAAAAACCTGATTCCGTGAACAGGTTTTCATTCAAGATATTACTTGATGGTTCCCATGTGTTATGTCTAAGAATTAATTAATCATGTAACAAACTGAATTAGTTTGTGATAAAATTGAATTGAGTACATATGAGCAGTAACAGGTAAGCAGTGAGAGATTAATAAACAAAGATAACTTACTGATTTGACCATCCTTTCCACTTGATTAGATATTCTGTTTTTCCCTTAAAAAGCAAAACTTGATTAAAGAAAATTTTTATTTCATTTTTTTTAATGATTTCAAACTATTCAATCTTCGATTATAATATTAGAAATGAAATGTTACAAGAATTCAAGGGCTGGATCCCTAATTAAGTATTAAATCAGTAAATCTCAAAATAATCCTACTTACTGCCCCTCTATCAAATAAGCGTCTGAAACTTGCGTAAAATGGTCAATATGCCCAATGTGTCCATTAAGAAGAAATTTTCAATACATTAGAGATAAAGGTCCAAAGAAGTCAAAGAGCTATAAATTATTAAATTCACTGCAGTGCAATGAGCTTGTTAAAACTACTTTAACAGGCTCAATGAAGGCATTTAGATCAGTTAACTTTAAATGACAATAAGTTAGCTACAACGATCTCAATAAGCTTACTGAGATCTAGTGCGTTTATAGAAAAATAAGCAAAGAGAATTTAACAGATATGAGATGATTCAGCAAATGATTTGGGCACAGTTATTAGGAATGAACTTCACAATTTTATGAGACAAATGTAGAGCAAGGTATCGAATGTTTCAGCTTTTTAAGAATAATTCATCATTTTAATTCATAGTATTGTACGAGGTTTGCCATTACGAACCCATACGCATATTTTTTTAAGGTAAAAATTGCTGTGCAGCTTTCGAGGGCGACGACTGACTTGAAATTGCTGATTTATGACATAATGAAGGACTAAAAAATGTTTTTTAAATGTTTCGGAAAATAACATTAGGAGGCACTATTAATAAAGAGTTAGACAATGGGTTTATATTTTTGAATCAAAAATATAGAGAAAATTTTTTGGGTTGCATGTTGAAAATGATTTGTCCAATAATTACAGAAATATTTTAGATCAATTTATGACCGTCTTGCACAGTATTCTTCATTATTCGGTTCATCCACGAGTGCGCTTTTGTCACGTGCTTTCTTTCTTTAAGGCAAAAATTGTCTACTATTTTTCTTCTTTATGTTTTAAAATATTCCACTTTCGTTCATTGATAGTCCAGAAATTTCATACAGTCAGAAATTTTTTTCAATTGAATTTGAATAAAAATTAATGACGATGATGACAAATGATAGCTAAAATGTTCATTCCACGTTTCAACTTTCGGCAAAATCACCCTCTGACGCAAATAAAAAGGTGGAGAAATATGCAAAATACGGAAATATAAAAGAGAGCGAAAGCAAAAGCAGATAAGAGTAGAATGAGAAAGTGGATGCGAAAGAATTAAAAGAACTATTCAACTTTCACTTAAAGCCTGAATTTTAAATTAACGGTACTAGAACATGTTTTTAGATTAGTTTTCTACTATCGGGATAAATTTGTAAGATCATAATGAGATATCAAGATATGCTTTAATGAGATGCCACCACTGTTCGAAAAGATTTACTTACTTTCCTCGTTCGGGATTTCAAAATTTTTTCTGCTGCATAGACGTCTTGCCCATCTAAAGGATCCATAATTTATGCTGAAAAAAAGTACACTTCAAGCAAGTTGCTACATCCGTTGCAATAAAATGACACTAATTTCAAACTGCACGCAAAACGATGAATAAAAAACACAGTTCACAATGAAAATGGACAGAATCAAGTAAGACTGATCGCTTGCGTAAGACTGCTGCCGACCTCTCAGTTGAATATTTCATCTTTCGTTATAGAAATTAAAAAAACATTCAATAGAACATAATTATAGTTTTAAGTAATGCATACCACTTTGAAATCTGTTTTTTATTAAGCAGCAGTTAATTTGAAAACGAAAAAGCAATACAGTACAGTTACTAATTTAGAATTCCCATAACAGTTCAGAAATGAAAAGAATTTTGAACCGCATCAGTGTAAAAGAAAAATGAGTGCTAGAAGTCAATAACCGCTATCTCTTCGCTGCTATTTAAACGGCAAATAATGTAAAATGTAGGTGGGTCCGATTAAAATTTGAAATTGGGAAATAGTGGGAAGGTGAAGTGAAATATTAAGTGCATTTTACCTTAAAAGAGAAAATTATACTGGAATGTATCCACTGATTATCAAATGACAACCAGTACTGAAAGAGCACAGCACACATTTATACAGAATCATCTCCGAAAGAAATAAAAAAACTATAATTGCAAAAAAGTATAACTATAAACATTTTTTAAGAACTACTTTTCAATCAGATTTTTCTATTTCCATAGTTGTAGAGTATTTTTTTATATCAATTCATAATAACTGCCACTTGCTGCTGATGCCATCATTAGTGACTATTATTTTATTACAATGATTATTGTTCATCATATTACTGATCTTTCTAACTTGGAAATCCATATAAAGTAGAAATGTGAGAAAAAAGAAAAAAGAATGAAAAAAGAATGTCGTGTGGAATGTTACAAAACCTACAAATTTTTACGAGTGCTTTATAATACTCCACTGTCAACACTCCGATAATTAAGGTATATTATAGTATTAAGAAAAAGTGAACTGTCATTTCTCCCCATTTAAACTAATAACCCAAAAAATGTATAATTGAAAATGCTTTGTAAAGTGAAGTGCAATATTGTTTTACCAAAATCAGTGACAACTTCCTTTGAACTGCCCTAGATATTGTTCGTTATGTCCAACAACTCACCACATAATATCTTTCATTTTCGCCTGCAAACTAAAACTGCAATTTGTTTCACCAACTTTTGACCAGGGAACTGTCATAAAGTTTCGTAGACAATAAATACCACCTACTTCACACGATTGAGAGGTGATAATTCAAAAATGTGGAGGACAAAATGGAAAGGAGAAGAGGAGAGGCGAAAAGAGGATAAAAACAGATTATGTTTCAATTATATGCGAAAAACTTTCATATTATTGCTCCACAAATTCCCAAATCACTGAAATATTAATAGCAATATGAACCTGAAGCTTTTAGAAATGTCTCAGTGATTGACTTTATTCTTGCCCTTATCTCTAAAGAACTAAATTCACAAAAGATGTGTCAGAGAAAATTAAGAAGTGATTTACATGTGCAACGACTGACCGACTTCAACAGTTTAATTTGATAATACCCTCATCCATTAACAAAGCAATTTTGCATTTGCACTAAGTTAAGGTATACTTCCATCTTGATGATATCTATCAGTAGGATGAAAAAAATTACGAAAACATAATGTCTTAAAGAGAGATAACGGAAACGGAGTGTTCATAAATTAACCATCTAATCATATCTCGCCTCTTCTACCTGAAAAAAAAAAAGAGAATTCGCAAAACCAAAAGCTACAAACTCCACCATAGGAAAATTGATTGAACCAAACCGTCCTCCAGCGATACATTGTAGTTTTCCAGTAGTTGTAAAACTGGAGCGCTGTGAAAATTGCAACTCGAGTGGATAGGAGGCAGATATGCCCACATGTCCATTATGTTTGATATCAATCAATTTTAGTATCAGTTTACGTAATTCCACTCAGTTATTTCACTTAATCGATTTAAACGAAAATTTTCTCATCTGCGGCCAACAACGACTTTTTACACCTCAATCATTAAAAAAGAAAATGTGCACAAAATATAATCCTCCAGCTGTTATATTTTATTTTATGAGAAGTAGTTGTTAAAGCAACAGCATTCATTCCAAATAATCACCGTAAGGCCTTACTCTACCAGTAAATTTTACAAAACAATGCAAAATGCCTTTCTATCCACCATAACGGTTAATGCACTCAACGGAATAAGCTATAATTCGATCCAGAAATGCTTGCATAGCAAACATTGTATTTAATTCAACAATATTATTATTAGAAAAAATCTGCCAAATTTTCAAAATGAAACTGTCAATTATTATTTGCAGCTAATTTATTTCGAATAAAAGTGAGAAAAATTTTTGGTAAAGAAATTTATGAATGAAAGATGAAATATCAAACTGACACATAAAAGTTTCATTTTCAGAATTGAAAGATTAACTTACTGATAAAACTGATTAGCGTGAAAATGTGAAGCTTTGTGATTTCAAAAGGCTTTCTCAGTTCGCACACATAAATTTCAATTTTTTTTTTTGGTAGTTTAAAGCTTTAATTTTTATTTTCTTTAATTCGTAACAGATCTGATGCTGTCTTTAAAAAAACTTAACATCACTGGTCGTCTTTCATACAAATAATTCCAAATTATTTCCTTTAGCTTGTGATTTAGATTTGTAATGATTTGTATGAAAGACTAATGATGCTAAGTTAAGTTAAGTTTTTAAGTTAAGTTAAATTAAGTTTCCAGTGATGTTAAGTTTTTCTGAGAAAGCACCAGATCTAAAGGAAATAAAAACTTTTAACAAATCCTAATTAACGATCTTCTCAAAAAAAAGGGCACGATTATTTTCCTCAGTTATTTTGAACTATTTAGATAACAAAACTTTTAATGAATGTTGTGATTAGTGAACGTTTTTTATTTATTGTTCCTCTTAATGATGAAGACGTATGTATAAGTGTTCTTTTAGAAGGACATTTCATACTGAATTACTCTATTACTTTGTTTACTTCGAAATTTGGATAAGATTAAAAAGTCTTTGAGAATAAGTGGAAGAAAGTCACAAGAGGGTCAAGAAAACTCTAAATAGACGATAGCATTCGAGAAAATTCTTTCGGTTGGTTGCAACCGGAAATTTGAGCAATTTTACTATCCCTTTATGTCGGAAAGTAATTTGCATTTTTATAGTCAAATTTGAATAAATGCTATAAATTAATGGCAAGGTTAATGTAAGATTGACAATGGTGACATTAAGCTGAATATTAAAAGGTACGGAATTACATAAAAGATTTTGCAACAGTTTTAATCGATATAAAAGTAGATAATGCTAGAGGCAATCATATATATATATCTAATAAAGCACAGTACTGTTAAATTTCCCCCTTCAATATGATATATTGCAGATTTTATTGTTTTCTTTAAAAATATATCGGTCAATTAAAAGAAACGCTTTTGTCTTTATAATTTTCAACTGTTGCAAAATCTATTCGTATCTCCTATCGATTCTTATATATCTTCTATTAATTGTCATTAAGAGCAATTATCACTTCTTCAATATTAATTATAAATGTTAAAGGTAAAACAATAATGCTATAAGGCAATGATAATCAAAACTGATCAATCAATAATTTATAAATATTTTTAAACATTTTTTCAATTTATCTTTAAATTGAAATTACGAACAATGCTTTTAGAGAAAGTGATGGATAATAAGCAGTTGTATATTTACGGCTAATTAAATAAAAATAAAGCATAGCATAGGAGCAGCTGTCATAGCACTAACACAGTAAGCACTTGGTGACACAATATGTAAAACATCTGTTGCGATAAATGTAGAATAGAGGAGAGGGAAGAGATGGGGGGAAAGGGTGCACAAAATAGATGAACTTCCTCTCCCTTCCTCTCTCCCTCTCTCCCTTCTTCCTTTTAGTCCAAATGATAAGATAGAAATGTAATGAGGCAGTAAGTAGCCCATTCAACATCCATCCAAAAATGGTAATTAACGCTTATCCTTCTTTACTACCACCTATTATCGTTGATGATCAGCTCGTCTAACCTTTTCACACAAAGATTACTGTGCTTTATATTGCCGAATGAGCGGATCTGAATGAGTGGACATTGGCTCTCGTTGTCTCTTCTCATCCCGCCATATTTCACTTTAGGAATGTTCAATGATTTCACTCATCATCTCTTTTATTAAAACATTTCCGCTGTCATAGAATTTAATTATTAACTAGTACGCGCAAGTGATTATCTCTCTGTGATAAGATATAAGATGCCTACCATTTATCCCTTCCTCTTCTCTTCACACTAATAATACTTCCGGGGTTTGTGCACAAAGAGAGTTTGATGCTTTTTTAAAATTCATTCTAAATAAGGCCACCCCTCAATTTCCCATCCTAAAACAGTGGAGCCATTGTCCCGCACTCTTCTCCGCACTGTGCCCCGCCTTCTTATAAATACTTCACAACATCTCAAAAATCAATGCTATTTTTTTGCACTGTTTATTAGTCTTCGTTTCACGAAATCTTCACTCTACAACAAGTACTCTGCCTGCTTCATTCGATCGTATCCTATTACTAACAAATCCTTGTCTATACTAACATATGCTCTTTTTGTTTCACACTTTCCTGGCCCTCTTGAAATTCATTCTTTTACATTAGTTGTTTATGAACTGCTTTCTCACCAGTTCTTCTATTTTACACTCATTTTCATCATTTTTCACTCTCTCTACTAACTCTGACTTTCTGGAATTTTCCCATCTCCTTGAATAATTAATTGTACCCGATACTGGCGGTCGTGTGCTTTCAAATCTTCGGCCTAAATTTAAAGAGGTGTCGGAATTTCAAGCAAATTGAAAGGATACAACAATTTGAGAGCCTATCTAACAGACAGATTTAATCAAATGACATTTAGGCCTTCGCTTCACCAACGATTACTATCCTCACCAATGATTAAATGCCTATTGTGAGATGTCTATTACATTCGTT